CTCATTCTATCTTCCCTCTTAAAGTTATCCATTGCCCCTAAAGAGAAAAATCATTTGTGAGAGAAACAGAGTACTAGTTCTCAAGAAACTGATATATTCTCAGTAGCCTGTTTATTGTCACATCCTAGACAATAAACAGAGTGGTCCCATTCCTGCATATATGGGTTAGAAGTTGGATTTCATAGAATACTTCTGCTGGAGACCCTTAGCCTGAATAAAAGACCTATTAACACTATAACCTGGCCGGGCACGGTGGCTCAAGCCTGTAATCCCAGCACTTTGGGAGACCGAGACGGGTGGATCACGAGGTCGAGAGATCGAGACCATCCTGGTCAACATGGTGAAACCCCGTCTCTACTAAAAATACAAAAAATTAGCTGGGCACGGCGGTGCGTGCCTGTAATCCCAGCTACTCGGGATGCTGAGGCAGGAGAATTGCCTGAACCCAGGAGGCGGAGGTTGCGGTGAGCCGAGATCGCGTCATTTCACTCCAGCCTGGGTAACAAGAGCAAAACTCTGTCTCAAAAACAAAAAAACACTATAACCTAAATGGAAACACCTTAAGATACTGTGCGAATTAGCGCAGATCAAAAAGAATCAGACTCATCACATAGAATTAAAGATCTGGAAGCACCCATTCTAATGGTAATTATGAAAAGGGTCTCGGTGTGTGGTCACATTTTTGAGACCCACTGTGCTGAAACGCAGATGCATAGGTTAACTTGCTAAAGCCACTCTCAGAATTCTTCTATACTAATGTGCATCGTGAATTTACAGCAGGATTAAATATGCTGTATTTCTGAAATGAAATTTATCATAAAACACAAAGCATACCAAAACAAAAAAACCTCTACATCTCCAAATTCCACAGAACACAGTTTGAGAAATGTTGAACTGATGCAATCCTCTCATTTCATAAATGAATCAACAAGGTCCAAACTGGCAGCAAAAAGAATGCTGGGGATTTTTAAAATCTTCAGTACCAATTTCAGTCTTGTAGTTGGGGTTGTTACATGCCATAATGCATCGTTACTCTGTTATGAGCACAGGGAAGAAAGTTTGAGTGGGTACAAGAGAAACTGTGGTTTGAATCACCAACAGATGCTTACTAACCAAAAGTTGAGAGCCACTGGGGCTGGCAGCCATGCTCCAAATAGGTCCTCCAAAGGCATCCATAGCATACTTGATGTTTAACGCCTGTAAGTCATACTCTATAATCTCACCATTGAGCCCAGCACTAAAGAGTCGCTGTCCTTCTGCCCAACACAGAGCTTCGGTAGCCCGAGACTCATGACCTGGGAAAAACTGCAGAAACATCGTAACTTGTCAGCATTCCTACAAATTCATCAGGTAGTGGTACTTAATGGTCACAGGCAACATGAAAAATGACTTTCCCATAAATAACTAGTGTGGGGTTTTGTGCTATCAGCTCATGCCTACTGAAATTTTCATTTTTTCCGCTCAAATTCTATTTACTTTTATAAAGTTAAATTTGTTCCTTTTACTAGAATTAGTTCATCAAAACATTTTCAGCAGAAAAGGTTTGAACTGCACTCCAGCCCGGGTGACAGAGCGAGACAATATCTCTACAAAAAATATAAAAAGTAGCCAGGTATGCTGGAACACGCTTATGAGTCCCAGCTACTACGGAGGCTGACAGGGGAGGATTGCTTGAGCCTGGGAAGGGGAGGCTGCAGTGAGACTTGGCCTGCCAAAGTCCTGGGATTATTATAGGCGTGAGCCACTGTACCCAGCCCAAAAGTTTTCACATCTACAAAGGCATTTGATTTTTAGACCTGCTTGACAATAAAGGGCCTAAGTAGGTATAATTTTTCTTTCCCATTTCAAGTTGAAAAGGCCAAGATACATAGGTTAGGTGGGTTGCCAAACGTGCCAAAGTCGATGGCATGAGAAGAATGAAGGTCTCCTTACTCCGCGCTTATATTCTTCTCATTTTTTTTTGAGACAGGGTCTCACTTTGTCACCCAGACTAGAGTGCAGTGGTGTGATCGCAGCTCACTGCAGCCTCAGCCTCCTGGGATCAAGCAATCCTTCCGCTTCAACCCCCCCAAGTAGGTGGAACTATGGGCATACAACACCATACCTACCTAATTATTTTTTGTAAAGACGGTCTGGTCACTATGTTGCCCATGCTGGTATTGCACTCCTGGGCTCCAGTGATCCGCCTGCCCTGGCTTCCAAAAGTACTGGGGTTACCAGTGTGAGAGCCACTGCACCCAGCCTCTTTTCACTTAAACGTACTAATTTTTTCTTGCTCTGAGAGTTACCGACAGAGCTAAGCAATCTTAACTAGCAGGAAAAGAAATACAGGGAAAGCAGAAAACTAGCCTGAGTTAATTAATTGTTGAAGAATAAAGAAAACAGATGAAAGAGAAAAGAAAATAAGGAACACCAGGCAAGGAATGGTTGACTTATCCATTCACGAAACATTAACTAAGCAGTGGCTTTGTACGAGGCACTTATTAAGTGGTAGGAATGCAGATGTGAACATCACTGACATGGTTCCTATTCTCATAAAATTGGAAGTGCAGCATGGAAGAAAGACATTAAACAAACACACCAATTATATAGTCATAACTGTTAAAAATGACAAACAGAAAAATCACAACATAGCCATGGCTGTAAAAAAACAAAAACAAAAACAACAAAAAAGAACAAGAAAAAGAAAGAAAATCAGCCTGGGGCAGTGGCTCTCGCCTGTAATCCCAGCACTTTGGGAGGCTGAGGCAGGCGGATCACTTGAGGTCAGGAGTTCGAGACCAGCCTGACCAATGTGGTGAAACCTCATCTTTACTAAAAATACAAAAATTAGCCAGGTGTGGTGGTGCACGCCTATAATCCCAGGGACTTGGGTGGCTGAAGCAGGAGAAATCGCTTGAACTTGGAAGGCAGAGACTGCGCCACTGCACTCCAGCCTGGGTGACAGAGTGAGACTCCATCTCAAAAAACCAAAGAAGAAGAAAGGAATTCACCAGATGCAACAGGCACACACTAGTGCATGCTCTTCATACCACAGAATGTAACCTATTTGTGGTGGGCCTGCAATTTTTAAATTGTTAGTTCTTCAGGAGTGAACTCAGTAAGTCATCCCTTTCCACATTTCCTAAACCCTAAACCTATCTCTCAGGGAAGGCAATTCTCCACTAAGATTCTATGCCGTGCTACAGTTTATCATATTTATTTTACAGGCTGGAAATGGTATACTTATCTTTCTCCCACTGGTCTTTGAATTCCATAAAGGTAGGGCTTCTAACGTTTGTCTTAGTGCCCCTCATTCACTGAGAAACATTTACAGAATGCCTAAATTCCAAATACCAGGCTGCTGGGGACTGAATTCATTCATTTCCCCATCTATTCATTTATATCACAGTGCCAGTACATAATAGTTATGCAATATGAACTAAGATGTACCTGAAGAAAATCACTGGTCATTGCTCTTGGAGGGGGAGTGAAAAAGGACTAAAAGCTCTCCACATACACCCAAAGGACATTTTACCTAATTTTAAATCTCCTTTACTCCCAAATGTAGGCAGGTAGGTCTACATTCTCTCAGACAGATCAACTTTGGAATCCATCTTCCTGCCATCATGTCACCAAAACGTTTCTGATATTAAAATGTGTTATCATTTTTTCTTAATTAACAATGAACAGTACTGACACTCCCAGTAGGAAATGTTGCTTACCAAAACTACAATGGTGGTGAGACTTATAGACCAAAAATTTCCCTTCTTGCAGCCAAAAGATCCTGCAAACCAGTTTCCAATGACAGGCAGTGAGATGACACATTTCTAGGTAGGACCCTTCTAATCAACATTCTAATCCAACCAGTCAGACAGATCTCAGAAGTTCGGTAATTCTAAGCAACTTCAGAGGGGCTAGGAAGTCAGTCTATTAGTTTGATTATAAAAGACACACAAGTTTCTTGAACTTTAGAAGAAATTAACATCAAAACACCGTATCAGACTCCCAAATGACTTACTTTCTCTTGAAAGTAGTTTGCTGACAAGTTATAAATTTCTACAGTGCCATCTGTTCGTGAAACAGCCAATCTGTTTGACTGGTTATTGTAAGCCACACAGCGGATTGCTGATGGAACATAATTAAAGAAACGTACTCGATGGACCTTAAATTCACCCATTCCTATGGAGGGAAACAAGAGTCGTTATTGTTCAATGTCAACTTCAGTATGTCACATACTGTATTCGGTTCCTTACTATCACTGTTCTGGAAGAAAGGCTCCAACTGCATCTCCTGAAGTTAATCTACTAACAATGCCCTCCACAAGAATCATTCAATCTTCAGAAGCTCAGGATAGTTTGAATAATGAGGCTTCAGCAAGAAAACAATAGGGTCCTACTCCATAGCTCCAGAATTCCAATCTCGGGGATGAGGGGCCTAGGAATCTGCATTTTAGCAAGCATCTCTCCTCAACTCTATTGCTAAGTTTGCACACAAAAGGCCTAAACTGAGGTAGTGACAGTGGGGCTGATGGGACAGGCAGAACCGAGCTCCTCTTGGGGAAAAAGCAATAGTGCTTGACCTACTCTGGCTGCCTGGTCTGACGTCTGTCACTTACCCTATCCCCCACGCCCGCCAACATACAAACTGGGAGAGGATAGAGACCCGGTCTTGTTCGCCCCTCACTCGTCTAGCTTCAAGTGTAGGAACCCGCAGACAGAGCAGGCGCGTTCTGTCAGGCCAGACTCGGCCCGGCCCTACTACAAGAGCGTCTGGAGCGCGCGGTCTTCGCCTCCCCTTCCCTCTCCCAGAGTTTACGGAGCAGCCCCCACCCAGCCTGGGTACAAGAAGACCCTCGGGGCAAGGAGCTCAGCAGTTCGCCGACCCTGGGCCGGCGCACCCTGTCGGACTCCCAGCTCTCCCACCCGCTTCCCACACGCTTTCCCCAACTCACCAGCTGCCCGCCGCTCTCCTTCCCGGCGCTCACCTCTCTCCGACCTGGCCCCACGTGCGCGCGCGCTCTCAGGCTCTGCCCCGGAAGTGGTCCTGGCGCATAGCCGGAAGTGCGCAGGCAGTGCTCGCGGTGGCGGCGACGGCGGCGGGAGGTTCGGTTGTCGCCCGTTGGCCGCGCGGCGCCGCGCTCGGCGGCCGCCATTGCAGGTCAGGCCGCGGGCGGGGGGTACGGGAGGCCGCGGGGAGCGAGGGTCGACCTGGGGATGGGGGCAAGGGCGCGAGGGAGCGGGAAGCTAGGGAGCCGGGGCCGGGTGGGGCGCACGGCTTGGGGAGAAGAATGGCGAGCCGAGGGGCGGGAGCGCGGGCGGGGGAGGGGTAGCCGGGAGGGGGGAGGGAGGTGCGGAGGTCGGGGCGAGCCCGGAGGGGCCCCCGGGGAGGGGGGGACCGGGAGCGTGGGGGAAGGGAGCGGTGTGGAGACCGAAGGCCGAGGGAAGGAAGGGAGCGAGCAGGGTGGAGCGGGAGAAGGGCGGAAAGTGTGGCCGAGCGCGGGCTGAGGACGGAGAGGGGGCGGCGCGGGCCGGAACCTCGAGGTACGTGCGGGAAGGGGATCTTCCCGGGATTGGGAGGGAGCCCAGCCCGCTGTGCTTGCGGGAGAGGAGTAGACCTGGAATCTAGGAAGTAGCGGGAATAGGAGAAAGGGGATTTCGGGGTGGGGGATAGGACCGTGAGATTTTGTTCCAGGGAACATTTGTAATCGTGGAGCGGGGAGGCTTCTGGGAGAGCTAGTTGGAAGGGTGGTTGGAGAGTGATTCCAACCTCTTTTGTGGGTGGGAAGCCGAGAGACTAGTGGGGCGGGGTTCTCGAAGAGCCAAGTTACTGAGAACCGGGAACAATTTAGAGAAGGTGGGTGGTAGAGAAAAGACGTTTACAGGGTAATGTTTTGGGAGGAGGATGAACGGTTTGGAAGACCACTCCGTTGGGTGGTGTGGAGGAAGGCCGTTTAATGAATAGTTTCCCTGGGAGGCAGGAAAAGGGGTTAAACAGCTTGTAATTTGGAGGCGGGTGGAGAATAGTGGGGAAGTGGATTGAGAAGTCCCACAAAGTGGGTGGGACTAGAAATAGGAAGTGTTCGTAGCTCTAGCCGAAAGGGTCGGTGGGGGCCGAGAGGGAGTGGGTGGAGTAGATGGGGGGCGGGGGAGGAAGAGCTTAGAGGGAGACCCCACGTCGAGCTAGAAAGGAAAAGGTTTGGGGGAAGACAGAGGGCGGTAGCATTAAGAGGAGGACAAGCCAAGGATGGGACTGCAGAGTAGCAGAAGATGGAGAAAACTGCAGTAACTCAGATCGACTGAAGCCATCTTTTCCACCCATTGGTACAAATACCAGTAATTGATTCCCTCCAACCTGGGAATCCTAAAATGTGATGGGAAGTATCACGTGTATGCATAGCATCCACACACGTTTTTGAACACACTCTTCACTGAAGTTTGGAAGCATTCAATTACACCAATCCTCCATAAGTCCCTTTTTGGAGGGGAGCAAGTTTCTGATTTAGAAACAGGATTTTTTAGATTTAGTAACATAAACCTTTCAAGAGACAAGATCCCCTTCAAAAGTATAGACCTGTCCCCTTCAGTCACAAAACCACGATAACACTACAAATAAAAATAATCTGTATTCAGTTGTATGTAAAGCATTCCGAGTTGTTCACTTGGTAGAAAGGTACATAGATAGTCATCATATTTAGAGAAATGACCTTCCAAAACTTAATTCCTGAAGCAGTTTGGTGAACCACAACTGCCATGTTTGAATTCTCCCATTTTTTAAACGATTTTATTCTGGTGACCTGCGGCTTTCGTAGAATGCTTTAGTCTATGATAAACTATTATAAACATTCATATGCTAATACAATGTAGTAGTAAGACGTTCTATGGGATGAATACTAAGAAAATGCCACCTTCCTTTGGGAAAGCAATAGCTTGACCCTGAAGGCTTACCATGTGTTTAGACACTGCTAAAAGTTACCTTCATTACCTCATTTTTGCAACAGCTTTTCAAATAGGTGTTTATGCCCAATTTATTGTTAGGAAAACACGTGAGGTTAAACTACCCACTCTCACATATGGGCTAGGTGGCAAAATCACAGAATCCAAGTCTGTATGACAAGTGAGTGCTTCACTGTATCCCTAAACAAAGTATCCACCCTGGGATTAAAACAACAAAAAAAAAGCTCAGTAAATGCCAGCTGTTGGCCTAGCAAAAAATTAAAAATTATGAATATTTGCACTCTAGAATAGTTGATTCCACCCCAGTTTAGAAAAGAACGTTTAAGGATTGGGAATTTAAAGCCTTGGTTTCTTGTCTTTAGAAAAAAGAAAATATAAAATGAAACAATTTCTAAAACATTGTTTAGCTTTATTAAAATTTAGTTATTTGTAGTGAGGTTAAACCATTGAGTTAAAGACACTTTTTTTGCTATAAGCCATGTGTTCTGTTTAATTGGATACATAGCACTTTCTTCTGCCACATTTTATTTTGAAGGATTATGAGGATCATTGCTTAGGCTGTTCTGTTCTCTGTAACACAGTAATCTTTTAACAATTTAATATTTAACAATCCAGAGACCAGAGGATAAGATTTAAATTTTGTAGAAGATTAAAATGAATACTTGACAAAGAACATCCTCTATTCTCATGACTTATTTTCTGTCACACTCAGGAGCAGAGGTGTAGGGTAAAGCTGCGTACTAGAGGTGGCATTGAGTAGATTTTTCTAAAAGTTTCAAAAACCAAAACATCTTGATTGGATATGATAAAAAGTAAGCTACTTGTTTGTAACTGCCTGCCCCACAGATGGCAATAGTTACATTGGTGGCAAGTTACAAGGTCTTCCCCATAGGTTACTTGTCATTTTGTAAGAGATGCTGTGAAAATGAGGCTAATATTTGTAAAGCAGCAGCAGTTCTTGTACAAAAGTGCTTTACAAGAGGGGACCGTGGAGGGGTTAGGGTTCATATCCCAGCTCTAGGATTAACTAGTTGTGTGACCAGTTAACATTAGCTCCTCTAAGCCTGTTTCCTGGTTTGTGAAATAGGAGTGAGAAAACTGCTAAAATCATAGAGTGTTAGGGTGAAATGAGAGGATCCAGGTAAATGTTTGAAAAAGGCTAGCTATGTGAGAAATGAAGCCTTTTATATTATAAAGATAATGCTCTCTGCCTGGACTTTTCTTAAGAAATCGTGGTGGTACTTTAATTTTTTTTTTTTTTTTTTTTTGAGTTGGAGTCTTGCTCTGTTGCCCAGGCTGGAGTGCAGTGGCCCCAATCTCACTGCAACCTCTACCTCCCAGGTTCAAGCAATTATCCTGCCTCAGCCTCCTGAGTAGCTGGGATTGTAAGTGTGTGCCACTATGCCTGGCTAATTTTTTTTTTTTAACTGAGTGCACTGAACCAGGGATAATTTTTCTATTTTTAGTAAGATGGGGTTTCACCATGTTAGTCAAGCTGGTCTTGAACTCCTGACCTCGTGATCCGCCTGCTCAGCCTCCCAGAATGGGATTGCAGGTGTGAGCTACTGCACCCTGTGGGTTTTTTATGGTAATAGTTAACTAACTTCAGAAGAGAGAAGCCAAATGATGGTTAAATAGGGTGTATCTCAGATTGGTCTGATTCCAGCCAAAGCTTTTGGATTTTGGGTAGGGTTCCCATTGTGAGTCTGGATTGATTCTTTGAATGCTGCTGCCTTTTTAAGGGAAAAAAAAGTTTACTGAGCTAGTCATTTGACTAATTTAGGAATACAGAATTTATGTATTTAGTTCATTTAGCTGTATGAAGGCCTGTAAAGATCAAGTAGAAAAACTTTTTTCCCCCTCTCATGAGACTGGGGACACGGGACATAATTTTATTGCAGGGAAAGGTTTGGTTTTCTTTATACCTTCTTCTCTCTCCAAGGCTACACACGAGTTGTGGCCCGTGAGACTGATACTATGCTGTAATATAATGAATTTAAATAATCTTTTTGAAAAGCTGCATCACAGAAGTCTTTCCATGGCTCTACAGTTAACCTTGTCAACCTGGAATTATTGTTCCTAACTGAAAACATGTTAGTCCTAGCCAAATGTGGGATTGAACTCGGCTCTTCAGACAGAGTTGGCCAGCATGGTGGGTCACGCCTATAATCTGAGCACTTTGTGGATCACTTGATGTCAGGAGTTCGAGACCAGCCTGGCCAACATGGTGAAACCCTGTCTCTACTAAAAATACAAAAATTAGCCAGGCATGGTGGCAGGACACCTGTATTCCCAGCTACTCTGGAGGCTGAGGCAGGAGAATCGCTTGAAGCTGGGGGGCAGAGGTTGCAGTGAACTGAGATGCCACAGTACTCCAGCCTGGGAGACAGAGCGAGACTCTGTCTCAAAAAAAAAAAACAAAAGATTGCTGGGAGAGCTCTCCCACTGACTTCCTTTTAGTTTCTTGACTTCATATATAGTGTATTCATCAAACTGCTTCAGATGCTCGATAGAGCTGAGATTTCTAAACCTTACAACAAACAACTAGAAATTGCTCTATTTCTCTTTCGGTGTTGCTAGAATGAGACTGAAGACTTAGACATATTTTTCTTTTTTTTTTTTTTTTTGAGACGGAGTTTCGCTCTTGTTACCCAAGCTGGAGTGCAATGGCGCGATCTAGGCTCACCGCAACCTCCGCCTCCTGGGTTCAGGCAATTCTCCTGCCTCAGCCTCCTGAGTAGCTGGGATTACAGGCACGCGCCACCGTGCCCAGCTAATTTTTTGTATTTTTAGTAGAGACAGGGTTTCACCATGTTGACCAGGATGGTCTCGATCTCTTGACCTCGTGATCCACCCGCCTCGGCCTCCGAAAGTGCTGGGATTACAGGCGTGAGCCACCGCGCCTGGCATTTTTTGTATTTTTAATAGAGATGGGGTTTCACTGTGTTAGCCAGAATGGTCTCTATCTCCTGACCTCATGATCCACTCGCCTTGGCCTCTCAGAGTGCTGGGATTACAGGTGTGAGCCACCACACCCGGCCTCATATGCTTTTTTTCAACTCCACTCTGAATGAAATGCATACTCCCTGCCACCTCCATCCGTTGTGTCTTCAGGGATCACTACCTAGTGTGACCCTACAAACAGTTGCATAGAGTAGAATCTCAAGGAGCAAGTAAAGAAATAATAAAAGTCAGGTGTTACAG